TTTACTTCGGGATGCATTTAAATACTTTCGATGTGAATATTTATCATGAATAGGAGTAATTCGTAGATAGAAATTACAGTCACCTTTGCTTCTTTGGCAAAAACTGCCCAGAGTTTGTTTTATGAGCTGTGTTCACCTTGTTTCAACATGACGAACGTCATATCTATTCATATTATTGTGGGAAAATTCATCTATCAGTCCTACACCAACTTAAACGAAATAGGGTGAGCACAGCTCATATATCTGGTAGTCTCGAAAACCTACTCGAAGCGGAAAAAAAATTAGTTTCAATTACGATTATTTACCTTTACTAATTAATTTCAATCGAAGGTAGGAAGACCAAGATGATGTGGTCTTTATTATAGTTTCGGTCTCCTTTCATTGTATAGAAGTAGTTTCACTTCGTTTTCGCTATTCGGCCGTACTGTCGCAGAGCCTTAGAGGAACACATCCTGTCTGGAGTCCTCTGCCATAGTCCTAATGCAATTTCTAGCGACTAGCCGTGAATTTGGTACATTTTCAGACATTTTGCTGGCATCGTGGTCGGCATCTTCAGTGAGCCTTGGCAGTCTTAACACCAAACTACACTTTGTCAAAGAAAAACTTTTCGTCTGCGACTGTACTAAATCCACGTTTAAAGGCTCGAAATTAACATGACTACTATGACAGAGGAATTCGGATACGAGGCTTGTACTTTAGTCCCCTTGACAATACGACTCAGTTGCTAAGACGGAGTCAAACTACTTTTATTAATTCTAAATTTTGTTTTATTATCTTAATATAGGCAACTTACGCGAAATTAGCTACATTCAACAGAAGCACGGCTTTAGAGACTAGGTCTGTTTAACCTACATTCGATGGCGTAAGTCAGGTCGCCTTGAAGCTCATTGTCTGGAAGATAGGCCACTGGTTGCGCAAAGTTGTGGAGGCCATGGCCTTCCCTTACACGGAATTGCAATCGCAGAGGCTTGACTGCACAACTGAGCTGGCGCCATGTCGATTTGGACGTCGGCATTGGCCGTCCGGGTTGTCCACGCCTCGACTGCCTCGACTTTGTGGTCTGCCACAACCCAAAATGTCCGCCATCGGGGCCTGTCCATGTGGTCGGGAAACGGGATCCTTTTGAATGGCGTGATGTGAAACCGGACGAGAGCGTCGTGTGACCTGAGCCCCCCGTAAAGAGGGCGTCAACTCGACCCACAGATTGAAACAGTGGACCACCGGGCATTGTCATGTGGGTGCCTTGCAAGAAGACAGGGCAATGAAGATTCGGCTGGACAGCCCTCACGAAGATACGGGACAGGGCGACCGAAGTTCCGGCTGGAAGGAGGGTGGTTGGTAGTGACTGCTCGGTTGTGTCGGGACTTGGACCATTGACAGCGACACGAGCAGAGACGAAAAGCTGTCGTGACGGCAGAAAAAGCTATAAATAGGCATCGAGACTATTCCTCCTATCCGTGATAATGAGCAAAATAAGATTCATTCAAGGCTTTATAAATTTCCTATGGATACTATCTATGTGCAGATGGGTCTACCATTTTTGAATTAATCTTATATAGTGGATTCTCTCGATTCATCTTTTCAATTAACCTTCTCACTAAATTCCCCGTGACTCTCTTCACCGTGACAATAGGCCGCCCATTATGGGTCTTCTATCTAGTATAGAAGCAAACAAGCATTATTGGGGACCGTATAAAAAATATACTTCTCAGTTGGGTGAGCCTAACACAGATATTTGATTTACTGAGTCTGGAAAACCTACTGACTAACGAAATAAGTAATGGAGTCAATTTCTATAGCAAATATAGGTTTACTCCATCTACAATCTCAATACATAATGCAATATGGAAAATGACTCACCTTCCTTGAAATGCACATCTGCACACCCAAGGACACTCGTAGCAATGTGGCGCAATGGTTAATGTGTCTAGATTACACTTTACAATGTCATAGCTTGACTCCCGCTGAGGATGTTAATAAGATCTGAGCGAGGTAAAAACTGCGGTCTACTCCTGTTTAGATGAGAACACTTTTTAGGTAAGCAAGGCTATGTGAAATTCGATGGAAACGTCAGCTCTACTCATATCATTGTGGGAAAATTCAACTACCAGTCATTCATCACCTTAAATGAAATAGGGTGAATACACATCATAATATACTTCTTATGCAATTCTAAATATGAGGTCCAAGTATTGGAATGGAACTACCTGTAGATCTTGAATAAGAGTTGTATTTTGCCTAGGTCACAAGACTTAATGATTGACTGATAATTGAATTTTCCCAGATAATATAAATAGGCCTGACTTTCTCATTTAATCTCACATAATCTTACTTCCCAAAAGATATTTTCGTCCAGAATGGGCTGCTTTTTAATGTCACTGTGATGAATACGGCTTTTATGGGAAATGAAACCAAAGATAAAAAGGAAATTAGTGTCTGGCCACTACAATTTCTACAATGATATGAGTAGGCCTAACATTTTCATGGAATATTAGATAGCCTTGCTTACCAAAAGGTATTACCATTCAGGGTGGACTGCAGTTTCAAAAGGAAAATTTTAGTCTATAAAAGGTATCGCCTGGAATTACTTTTCAACTAGTTCACGATATACCAAGAAAATATGGGTTTTAGGGGATCTCTGGGTTTAAATTGTTGAGCTCGCTTCCATTTCGAATGCGTTGAAGAGATTCGAAGGTGGTTCGCATCAGATTCAATCGTTGGACGAGTTAGCAAAACTCGTTCGTTTGGATATGGTTGCAATAATGATACACTGCTCCGATGCTATCCATCATACTACGGACGAAAGCTTAGTACGTTTCCACCTAAATCGAATATGATTGTCTCAGCGACAGCACCAACAAAATGCTCTAGTAGAGCAAAAAGGGGAATCCATCTTCGTCTTATGGTGGGATCAACCTTCAACTCTATTCACTACTAACCACTTTCACTCGAAATAGAATTAAACTCAATAATTAGTTCACAATACCTGAAAGTAAGATGACAAGAAATAGCTATTTGAAATAAAAAGAAGGCTTTATGATGTTGCCAACCAATGGCTTTTGAAAAGTTACGTGAGCCGCCGAGAATATGGAGAATTTGAAACATGTAAAAAAGACCCAAACATTTACCTAAATTTCGAGATCAAGTGGTTAAAAGATTTCGTGTTTGTTTGCTGGGACTCAGGTTGGGAATACATGCTGCCTTCTGCATTAGAGGCTAATTGAGCAAAGAAACACCTGTATTTGCTTATGAGCCCAGACGTTAGAAATCGTTGAACATACAGAGGAGCCAGATAAGGTGCTTTAGAGAAACCAATGAACATCTATAATTCAGAGATGATCTAAGGATTGAGAAGGGTTAAGTTAATGACTGATAGTGGAGGTTTTCCCACATTTGAAAGTGTAGGCCTTGCGATGAAGTTGAATTTCACTAGGATTTGCTTCTCAAAAGGTTTTATTATTCAGGTTTGACTAAACTATCGACCTCGACGCCCATAACTGGATTCTTAATCCGACTGTGCATGCTATGGTGACAAGGTTTAACTTCGCTAGACAACGAGCGATGTCACAGAGTGACGGGGCAGATACCAGTAGAAAATATGCGATGTATTCACTTTATTTCGTTTATGGTAATAATAATTGGTAGTTAAATTTTCCCACAATGATATAGGTAAGTCTTACGTTTCCGTTGAATTTCACATATCCTGGCTTACCAACAGGTATTCAAATCCAGGCTGGACTGCAGTTTCGATCTTACCTGAATTGGTCTCATCAACACACCTAGAAGGATACGAACCACGAGCTACTTAGAAACAAAAAATAAATTATGTAGTCGATTGCTCTAACAAATATAACTTTGCTTCCTCGGCAATCTAACCACAAAATGTGGTATGTGAAAATGGCTGTCCTTTTTTAAAATTCACATCTGCCCTATGACCCAGGGGCACTCGTGACACTATGGCATAATGACTAACGTGTTGAGATTATACAATGCACTCACATGATTCGAGTCCCGCTAGGGGTACTAATGAGATATAGGTGAGATCAAAACTGCAGTCCAGTCTAGTCTGGATGAGAATAACTTTTGGGAAAGTAAGGCTGTGTGAGCTTCAATGGTAAAGTAAGACCTACTCATAACTTTTCCCTTGTCACCTTAAACAAAATAGGGTGAACACACCTCATATATCTGATTTACTGGTAGTCACGAGCACCTACTTACAAACGAAAAATCAAGTCAATAAAACTATCCAACTCTATCCTACAATATATTTGTGATTGCAACTACATAAATATATAGGCCCTATATAGCTATAGAATAATTTGGCTATTGCTAATTCTTGTTATTCAGGGCTCTTTCTCTTGTGTGCATTTGCGCTAGACTACGAAATACCGTATATTCTAAAAGTATTTACAAAAGAGCCCATCATTATGTCCGAGCCATCAGGGTTCAAAGAACCAAGGAAAAGCATATCTGCTATTACTTAAGCCCGTAAGTGACTCTGAGTGAGACGAGATGCAAGCCTGTAAGCGTGTAATACAGGTTACGAAACCAACAGTCATAACCCGTCAGTCTAGGGTCATTATAATTTAATAACCCAGACAAAAGGATGGCAAGGATTAAGTAATCTATTACATCTGGTTGGATATACAGGCCTAATAGAACTGCTGAACGAATATCTATGTATTTATAACCATCACTGAAATGATAAGTTGGGTCACTTTCCTTTGTGGGAAGTCTCCATAATCAGTGCTTAACGTGTCTCACGTGGGCATGGAGTGATTAACCTTGCATTAAAAAGTTCCTCATAACTTCGTGACAAATCCATACAGATTAAAAAATAGATAGAATGAATTTAAGATGGTGAACATGCGCTAATTGTGGCTATTGATTTGAATTAGATTAGGGTAGCGAGATGAACAAGTGGAAGAGGCTACCGGTGTTACCGACTCAAATAACTGGTCGTAGAAAAAAAAGATTCAACTTCACACAACAGCTTCACTTATCTTCAACTATTTTACAATGAAGTATGAACCAGCCTTTTGAATCATGGGACGACTCATTAAGATAGCAAATTCCGATTGTAAGGCGTAGGTAGATGTGCAGCTGGTCACCGATTTTGATTTATAAATAGGAAAGTTTAATCGAGAGAACGATTTATGCCCCGATGAGATAGACGAAAGGCCGGCCCAGATTCACCATATCG